AAAAAAAACTTTATACCTGTATCTCCCTGAATGCTTTCTTTGTGTAAAACAAACAGAAATTTGAGAGCCTAAGTGGGCAGCGGGCACCCCAACTCAATGGTAACACTGCAGCCTGCAAGCTGCATCTCATGCTCATAAATCAGCCCAATTATTCTAACGAGGAGAGCTGGGTCCCTCTGCTTCGAGTCCTGCTGGTTTACAGAGAGAGGAGAGCAAATAATAGAGAACAATGGCAGCTTTTGGGTTGGGGGTGGGCAAAGGGATGGGGGACAGTGGGCGATGCTTCTCACCACTGGCACTTCAGGAGGGCAGCAGGGCAGCTCTGCATGAGCCCCGGCTGTTATTCCAGATCAGAACTGAAAGCAGTTCCTTTTCTTGCTCTGTATTAGTTTAAGTTTTCTTGCAATGGTGAAAATTAGAAACTTGTTTTTCTGCGATGACAATATAGGTTCTTATTTACTCCGTGAATCTGGGAGCTGAAGCTCCAAGAAAACCACAAACTACCATGAGATTTATTAATGAAAGATGAGAGCCAAAATTATGAACGGCTCCATTCATTGTTTTCTATGTTTTCATCCTGGTCCCTCCTATTGTCCCTTCTCAGTGATGACTGAAACAAATCATTCAGGTCTAGATCTCTTATTATGACACCCACAGAGCCTCCTTGCTATTGTTTTGGCCAAATTAAAAACATTTGTTAGGGGTAATTGTGGAATGGCATAAAAATTCATCTCTATTTTGCTGACGAGGACTTAATTACTTCTATTCTATTGTGATAAGTTATGTACTGAGTTCAGATATTTTTTAATACAAAACATTTTTTAAAATGGCCAGTTCTGGCAGCCCTTGTGACATCCTCCTCTCAGGAAAATTCTTCTTGATCTCTCGGGATGTTCTCAACAGCTTATCCCTCTTTTCTAATGTCAGTTTTCCTAAAATGTCTTCTTATCCCTGCCCCCCACACAGCTTAAGTTGTGTCCATATTTTCAGCCTTTCAGACTCCAAAGAAAGCTCTGTAATTAGTAGATAAACCTTCTCTTTGGTCATGAATTCTCTCTGTGTTCCCTGCATTGATTTCAGTGAGCTAAATGCATTGAGATGTTTGGAGATGTCCCACCCCATCTTCAGCCTGAAGCACCACTGAGACCTGCAGCTGCTGCAGAACACAGTGAAGCTGCCAGAGACACTAATGGGGAGGAGCTGAAGGGTTTGTAGACAAAAAGTAAGGGGTGTGCTGTAGTGCCTACAACCATGAATTGCAAGAGTACCCTTCTTAAAGCCAACAGAATGGTATATCTTTTTTGATGGAAATGTAACAGTGGGATTTCAGAGCATGACCAGCGCCCAGCATTCAAAAGTGCGCGTCAAGCCAGACACAAACTGTGAGACTATCTTTAAGTCATTAAAAAGATCCAGAATTAGTTATATTTGCCTTTTATTTCTGAGCCTTTCATGTTTTTTTGCTTTTGCATTTTCAACCGTTCCTTTACCGGGAGCAGAATACAACTTCAGGGAGGAGGAGGAATAAAGAGGATGCTTGGGTTTGGGGTGCTGGGCCTCTGCACCATCCACCAAGAGCCACTAAGTCCAGAGAGCCACCAGAGTATGAGAGCCACAGACTTTCAGTAAGCCTTGTGATATTAAAAAAACATCTCTGGGATTCATTAAATTCTTAGTATTATCTCCAACCTCAACAGTGAATTTTAAAATTAGCTTTGTCATTACCTTCTTTTCACAAGAGGTGTTTCAGCACTGCTGCCATGCAGGAAACACAACCAGAATCAGAAGTTACAGGTGGGGAAAGTCACCCCTTTGAAATTCTGTGACACGGCACAGCTATTTTTTTCTGCTGTTTTTAAGTGCTTTGCTTCTGTTAATGAGACTATTTTAACTACATATTAAATCAGAACCTCCTGATGGAGCAGAATCAAGCAGCAAAGGAGCACTGAATGGCTCAAGCAGCACGGAGCAGAAACAGAGATGAGACTCCCAGCTGCCCTGACTGCCCATGTGCCCCAGCTGTGTGCAGCATCACTGCCTTGCTCTCACTGCCAGCTTGCTGTGCTTGCCAGCACCCTGCAGCACCTTGTCTCATGTGGTCACTGGTGGCAGATGGGGTTGGGAAATTGAGGCTGTGCTGAGAGTTCCTGGCTTAGAACAAATACTGTCCTTAAAACATTTATTTGGCAGGTAAATTCAAAGATAGAGCTTGGAAAAAATGTGACAAAATACTTTCTTTATGTCCAGTTGTAGCAATCCATTCTCTGCCTGTGCAGCCCTGGTGCCTCAGACCTCTGAACAGTAAAACTAGGGAGAAGACAACAAGCCATCATCTATTGCTATATTTAAATCCAACTGCTTTTTCTTAGAGCTTCCATTTCAGATCTGAGGGCCAAACCACGGGCACGGATGGTCCCAAAGCCAGGAGAAACTTGCAGTGACCAGAGCTCCACGGGAGGCAGAAACAAGAAGTGCTTTCATAGAATCACAGAACAGCTTGGGTTGAAAGGGGCCTTCAAGCCCATTTGGTTCCAACCCCAGACACGGGTATGAGTAGAGCTGCTACCCAGCAGATCAGACTGCCCAGGGCCCCATCCAGCCTGGCCTTGAATGCCTCCAGGGATGGGGCACCCACAGCTTCTTCAGGCAAAATGCTGCTTTACTCAGGACACATGCTGTTAGCCAGAACAAACGTTTCAGACCTCTTTAAAACATTTCCCACCAAATAACCAAATGCAGAAGTTACTTAAAACAAAAGTGTTCTTGCAAGGCAATAAGGGAAGATTTAACTGAAGTCCACAGGAGCCAAGTCACACCTCATTGTGTTTGCTTGCTGCTGACTTCATTGAAATCTTAAACTATAAAAAACACATTGGTAAAGTTAAAACGGTCATCTTAGTGCTTCAGAGCTACACCAATATAAGAATACATGGTTTTACTAACAGTTACAGATTAATTTCATATCTAAATCATCACCAATAAGTGTACTGCATCACCAAGCACACTTAAAATAAACAAAAAATGGATTTTAAGATAAACAGGCTCAAGGCCAAAAATCCACATTCTTTGTAACCAGGGAACTGCACACATGAATGCAGCTATTGGAAGAATAATTGGTCCACAGTTACAGGCAAACACAGCATTTTGTTGTTTCCCCTTCCCCTTCAATGGCTGCTGGATTTTAGAATTTGCATGACGACTATTTTTTTTTTACTGAAGGAAAAAAATAGAGCTCCCATGGGGCAGCTTTACCCGCCTACCATATGGAATTGGCTTTTCTTTTTTTCAGATTACCCCATTTATTATTATTCATACCTTTAAAGAGAAAGAAAATTCTTTCCATATTCAGACCAATAATGATGTAGGAGGGAGGGAATTAAAAAATAAAAAGCCACTCTCACTTGTTACTTCTGCCAGCAAGCCAGCAATTGAGATCAAGGCCAGCAATTTTGTCCTTTTATGCTTTTCCTTCTGTGTGATGGAGGCCTGCACCAGACACTGCTCTGCCTTGGATTCTTTCACAGGATATCAGAAGTCTGCTCTCCCCTCATCAGAGCTGAAATGATCCGTGCCAATAAAAGAAAGGAGAATTTTCTCTGGTCCAGAGGAACCAGCTTGTCACCAAGTCTTCGCTACTATTTGATTAAAGTAGAAACCTACATGCAAACCTGTAGGGTTTTAGCTGTTGTGAAAATGATTGAGCTGCTGTCCTCTTTCAGAAACTGTTTGCATTCAGTCACCCCACATAGCAGGAAAACCAATTGTTCCTTAAAAATTATAAAATTCTGTGCAGAAACTGTTGGTACCCAGAGATTTCACAGCATGCCACGCGTTAATTGCCTCTCCTTCCACTCTGCATCTGGAACATTCATCTCTAATGCACCTTAGTGAGAAATATATTAGTTTGTAAAGTGGAGAAGGACCACAAAGAAAACTGCTGAATACATACAGTGCCGTAACATAACAATTTGCAAGTAGCCTTACTGTGAGCATGCCCCACTCTAACTTTGCACAAGTTTTCTATTTTGCAATGTAGGTCACATTCAGCAAACTAGGTGACCTTCAAGGCCCCTTTCCAAACGAAATCATTCTATGAGAGAGTGCATGAAGAATTACATGGCTTCATCAATGAGATCATTGATTTGCAAGCTCCAACACTGTAGTCCTTTTTCCTCTTTTTAACCCAATTATAGGCTTTGCTGAAACACAGTGCAGTCATTTCTGGCACAAATTCAAGTCACCCTGCATATAGCAATGCTATCAGCATCACTTCTAGGAGAATCTGCTCCATGAACTTTCCAGGCACAGAGGTGAGGCTCACCCCAGGCCTTCTTTCTCACTTTCTTAAAAATGGGAGTGATGCTTCTCTTTTCCAGTCACTGATGACTTCACCTGACAGCCACAGCTTTTTAAATATGATGGAGAGGGGCTTGGCAACCACATCAGCCATCTCCTTCAGAACCCTGGAATGCATGTTGTCCATCCCCATAGATTTGTACATACTCAGTCTCATGAAGCAGTCTTGGTCTTGCTGCACTCTTACAGTGGGAGGGATATTGCTCCCCTGCGAGATTCAGGGATATGAAATGCATGGGAAGCCTGACTGCCAGTAAAGGCTGAGGCAAAGAACTCGCTGAGTACCTCAGCCATCTCCATGTCTGTTGCAGACAGTTCTCCCTTCTCATTTATCAGAGGGGATACACTCTCCTTTGCCCGTCTCTTCTGACCAATGTACTGTAGAGCCCCTGCTTGTTATTCCTCACATCCCCCACCAAGTTTGATCTGCACCCTGGCTTTCCTGATGCCATCTCTGCATGTCTGGATGGTATCCCTGTATTATTCCCAGGCCACGTGTTACCACATCCCATGTTTATTTATTTTCAGATGTCTTTAAACAAAGTCCCACTCTGCTGGTACAAGGATATTTTCACTGACGGGGAAAAAAAAAAAAAAAAAAAAAAAACACCTTTTCTTTGATCTCCATCACAAAGATGGAGAGCTAGGTTCCATCCACTTACACCTCAGCCTAAAAGCCAATCTTGTTAGCATGGATTTTTTCATAGCATACAGCTCTTCTCAGATCAGGTGTCTGTTATTTCTCTGCCAAATAATGTTCTTACCCTGTCCAACCTGAACGTTTGTGGCATTATCAAATGAAGTGAAATTCATTTATCTTCGCAAGCATGTGTTTTTTGGTGTGGTTTTTTTTTTGACATATTTCTTCTTCCTCCCCAATATGCCTGAATACATCTGGTCAACATGAAGATAACAGAAGTATCTCCAACTCACACATGGCAGAAGAGCAGTGTGTTTCTGGTTGGCAGGCTGGGATAACTAAAAACACGATCAGCGAGAGGCTAGGAACCAGGATAACCACAGGAGAAGAAAGAAAGCAGCTGACAAAAGCCAACACAGCATGAAGAAGAGGAAGGAACCACAAATGAGCATTTAAGCAGCAAGGCTATGGGGATTCCTGAAAGAAGAGGGCACAAGACCTAATGAAAGTAAATAATGACTGATCTATTTAAATTATCTTTTTAGTGGCAGACAATATTGAAATATCAGGCTGGTTTCTACTTAGAACATTTGATACTTACTGAAATACTTTACATATATATATATATGTATATGCTGTCAAGTGTCATCTGTCCTATAGCAAAGAGGTTTTTAATCTGGATTCGTAGAACCAACTTATTTTCTCAGTGGAAGAGCCATATCCATCCACATCACTAGTTCCCGACTTGCCAGACTACTTCAATTCCATGAACCCAAAGCAAAAGCTGTGATGGAAATGGTTGCCATACAGCCTGCTGCTGTTACGTACAGTCAGAACACTGCTGTAAGGGACTCAAATGCAGATCCACTAATGAATGTAAACATAAAAGAGCCTCAGTGCTCAGAAATCCCTTAAAGGATGTTGGTACAAACACCTGGTGGTCTTACATACACTAACAGAAGGTCTAAGTAGCCTGTTGAACATCAGAAAGACAGCAGGATCTATAAAGACAAGGTATCTGAACAAGGTTAGAGTTGTGAAAGTAATCAATGAGCAATGACTGTCAGGTCTTTCTGTTCTGTGACCCACCTCCTACGGTCAGCTTCCAAAGATCTATGAGCAGTAACTGGAGAAGGAAGCACTGGGAAGTGTGAGGGGTTGCTCTGGAACAGATGTGATTTGTCACACTGGATGTATCCATGGAGAAGTGAGTAATACTTTTAAATATCATCATGGCACTGCATACAACATGAAAGAATAGCAAAAAGCATGTCCTTGTTCTGTTCCTTCTGTCCTTCCCTCTAACACACAGGTTGAGAACGTATAATCCTACATCAAACAACAGGTAAAGGCGTGGCTCTGACAAGTCCAGTGACTCCTGAGTGCACAAGGTATCATCAGCATCCACACTGCTGATGTGTTTTGGCAGGGTAAGGTAACCTTTGCTGAGCCCAGCACTGCAGCAGATGCACTGCTTTAGCTAGACCTGGACTCCTGCTTCTAAAGCTAACTTCGTTTGATCAGATACTAAATTCCTTGTGACTGACAGCGTGGACTGGGTTTGCTCTTTTTCAGCTTGCTTTATGAAATGTGACTGTTACTACCACATGCTTTGAATCGCCCATAACCCTTATGATGAGCTGCACTAACAACAATGTTCTTCCACTCCTTGGTCCATGCCCCTCAGGGTGAGGCGTCTCTTCTTTTAAAGCCAGCAACTATTCCTGATGAAGGACCACTATTTAATGAGAAGACCCTCAGGTTTGTCCATTTCAGCAAGCATTCCCCTTAGAACTGCACAGTAAGCAACACAAATCTCTGGCAGGATTTCTGCTACTGGACAACTGTATAAACATATGAAGAATTATTGCTACTTTCTTTGTTTTTTAAACATCTGACTTAGAATACAGTTCAGCTCTGAATAATAATTACATAAAAATGCATCACAAGAGCCCAACTATGATGCTGGTTTTCATCTCAAGCACTCTGACTGTACAAGAAAAAAGGGGCTTTAAACAATTTAAAGCCTGCAGAATACAAAGAAAAGATTTTGTCTCTGGAAGAGAGATTCATAATAACATCTGATTAGAATGGGTCTCTTGTATCAACAGGTTCATAAAAATATAACAGCAAAAATAACACTAAAAATAGGAATTTGAACTTATTCTGAGTATAGACAGGGAGGCGACCTCACCTGCCTTGGGGTGAGACGTGCCAGAGAAACCGAAGCTCCTGCACCCAGCAGTGGAACCGCGATCAGTCACACCTCCAGAGGGCGATGGTCTGGCTGCTCTGCTCCTCTTCTCAGACGCTGTGAGTTTGACACCATGATTTTCAATGCTGCAGCTAAAGAAGATTTTCCAAGACCATACTGAGATTTTATGTCGAATTTGCTGTAGCGGTAGCTGCGGTGTGCTTGTAGCCTTGTCTTGCAGAAACAGACCAAATGTACTGATTGTACCACCCCACAAGATCTTGTGAGACTACTTCTGAAACTGTTACAAAAATGAAACTGCTTTTTATGAACCTTTACCCTTTATAAAAATCACATTTTTGTAATATCAAACCAAACACTTCATTCCTTTCAGCACAAATCCCATCAGATAAAGCTATGAAACAACATATAACCCCTCTTCTGCAAGCCCGAACCTCTCCATCACATTACTTTACCAGCTAAATGTGTCCCCAGCACACATCTGGCTTTTAGATAAAGGGGGATACTGCACAAAACTTTATCTGAAAACCAACTGAGAAATACAACAATCAAGTAACACAATGAGACCACAGAAATTAAATACAGATTTATAAAGCAGTAAGGGGCAAGGAGCAAACTAAGTGCTTCTAGTTTTTTTAAAAAAAAGTTATAAAGCAGTTAGTGGAAGTGGTACACAAAACAGCTAAGCAAGCCCTTTGATTTTAGGAAAACCTGCATATCCATGCATCAATTGATTTTAAAAAGCAACCAAATCAATATTGAACCATCTATTCGCCCTCACTCACAAGAAGAAAAACCTTATAAAAATAATGTGTTTTATCTACCTCATACATGAAAATCCAAGAGCTCAGGGTCTACTCAAGATTAAGGGTAATTTCAGCCACTGATGCAAACCACATCTCAAAGTTAAGGATAATTTCAGCAACTGCCCTGAGCTACATCTTCTAACTCAAATTTCTTCCAACAAGCAAAACCCTCTAAGGAGTAATAGATGCCAGTTTTCTGCACAGAACTCATCTAGAGCATGAACTGTAGACATTCAATCCTTTCACTAACAGTCTTTTGAATATTCCTGTTCCAGCATAAATGTCTTGTTCCAATTTAACGTAATCCACCTAATCCATTTGGAGTACGACTCATTTATACCTCAAAAGCTAGATGGAATTGAGACACAAAATTCTGGAATTGCAGTTTAAGACTTACTTGTCTGTTTAGATTACAGCTTGCTTCATCATTTGAACAGACAGCTCTTTGGGCAGCTAAAATTTCATCAAGTCTGAGGAAGCCTCATGCATTCATCATATTCAGAATCAAAAAAACCTGACATTCCTCAAGATCAGTCTGAAAAAAAAAAAAAAAAACACCGAGTGCATCTGATAAACTGACAGGATTTGGGGTTCTCTGTCATACCCAACAGTTCACTGATTGCTGTTCCTAGGAGCTACCGAGTTAGGAGACAACAGTAACAAGCCTGGCAGCACACGTACCCAACAAGCTGGAAGCTCAGGCTTGGGGCTTTCTCGCCTTACAGGAAGCCAAAGCATCACTTCTCTCAGGACACTGCTCTGCTCAGACCCTCTGCTGCTCTGGACAGTGCTCCCCATAGCCTCCTGTTGGAGTTGGTCACTGCAGAGCTGAACACTCAACTTATTTGGCCAGGAGAATAAAAGTCCAGAAAGAGGAAATATGAGGAAGGTTATCCTGACATGGTCAGCCTCAGTTGATATCCAAAATTGGATTTATTGGGTAGCAGGAACTGCAGGCTATGCTCACAAGTACACTTACAGCTGAAACAGAAATTAAGAGGAGGTAAACATCCATTTCTATCATGCCTTCTTACAATTTATCTTCCCAAACTAGGACTACTAGAACATCTGTAATTTCTCCTTGCTTTCCACCCCTAAAATTAGCACCCATGCCAGTCCATTCAATCCCATTCCAGTAACACAAGTAGCAGAAATTGCATGTGGGGACTGAACAGAAGCATCTCTTCTGCCAGTTATGGATGGTGAGTGACTGCACTCAGCTCTTTACCCAGTGGTTTATGTAACCACCTCCATTCAGAAAATTACTTTCAAGATAGCACCCAAGTTTATTTGGTAACCACCAAACACCACATAAATCATAAACTTAGTTTACTTGGCAGGAGTTAATACTCCAGTGTTTTGAAAAGCCTGTTGATCACTGGAGTTGTATGTGGTAAATACATATTTAAGAAACATTGCTTTAAAAGTGGGAAATTATCACCTCTCCTCCAGTTTCACACTGTTACTTGGATGCCGGGGAGAAGCACCACAACATTAATTCAGGAAGTGATCCCAGTGCTCTGGATGTATCTCATTGAAGCTTTGAATCAAGCACAGATAAGCATTTCAAAATCTGTCTCTTCATTCAGCAAATAAGGTACAACACACCCAGCACAGTGCTTCTGATCCAGCACCATAGTTCAGAAACCCAAACTTTGTCATTAAAGCTTCTAGCTTGTAACAGATGCTTATCTTACTGGGTCTAACCCTCAAAGCCATATAAAAATTGACAAAATACATATATATAAAGCCAGGGACAAATACGATGTTTTAGATTTATAGCCCATCTTATTTCAGGCAAACTTTCCTTCGCAGACTAACCTTACGTAGCTACTGTCATTTCCACATTACCAGTACTATTCTAGCAAAGCCTTAGTTTGTTTTCTAAATAAACTTAAGCTGTTAAAGAAAAGCTATCTGTGCTAAGATTTGCAATATATCTGACTTCTGATAAAAAGACAGAACACCTATGCACTTGAAAAGATCTTATGACTTCAATAAAAGGATGCACTAAAATAATTTGGGCCAATACAAAATATAAAGGAGGCATTTTTGGGCTACAACTCCACTGGTGCACTTCACAATGACTGCCAGGCTGCAGTGACTTGACAACAGCCCTGGAGATATACTCCTGCTCCTCTCCATTTATGGATCTGAACTTAAATACATTTCCAAGTATACAGCTGCACTTTGAGGAAATAAAGTTTGCGAGGTAAACATCTTTGAAGACTTAATTTTTTTTTTTTTTTAAATACCACTTTCCTGAAAGAGTGGTCAGGCACTGGAATGGGCTGCCCAGAGATGTGGTGGAGTCACCGACCCTGGAGGTGTTCAAGGAACATTTGGACGTTGTGTTGAGGGACGTGGTTTAGTGAGTACTACTGGTGATAGGTGGACGGTTGGACTGGATGATCTTGAAGGACTTTTCCAACCTTGGTGATTCTCTGATTCTGTGATTCCTTTTTTCAGTTTTAGCATCCTACATTAAAGCAAGGAGATACATTTTTATGACTTAGGATTATTTGAAGACAAGCAAACCAATAATCATTACGTAATAGGAATTCACATTCACTGTACTGTTCTGTCAATCTGTAAACAAACTTTCCATAAGTTTTTTCACGTAGGCAATTTCAAACTCCCTTCTATATAATAGGGTGAATAAGTTCACATATGCTTTTTTTTTTTTTAAAGTCCTTGCTGTTTAATCAGTACTTTTTCTGGGATATCCTATTTTGATATAAACTAATGAGTACTGCTACCAGACTAAGGGGAGAGAGACTGCCAAGAGGCATCCCAGCCAAATCACCTTTTTGCTACTAAAAGAAAAACAACATTTTGGCTTTTGTGTTTCACTTCAATATAAACAAAGCTGTCATGAATACTGTGGCACTACAACAATAGCAGTACTCCTGAGATTATCTAATTTTATCACCTCAGCATTACTCAGGGGAAGCCGGTGGCAAAGCTATACAAGTAAATTGTTGATGAGCTCTGTCTCGCTAATCCCCGCTGCAGAAGATGAAGCACGGCAATCAGGATATAAAATTTGTTTATAATTATTGGTGAAGAGCTATTACTGAAACTATTCATATCTGCACACTCTTTATACTTGCACCTGAGAGACACGGTTATCAAGAAAAGAGATTGCAATTGCATTTCCTCCAATTTAGCGAATTGTTATGAAGGCTTGATTTAAACATAAAGCTGCTGCTGTAATACATGAATGAGCAGAACAAAATGCATGTGCATACATATTCAGTAACTACCAGAAATGGAAACAAGACAGAGATTTCTGCTATATTCTTACCTCCTCTCCATTCTCTGACTTGGATTCTATTTAATCTCACCTACAAGAATGTCTAACAGCTGCATGTTTACTACTAATCTAATTCTGACCTTTCACATGCATTTATTTCTCTCCATTCCAGGTTGTTCACTATTCTTTCCAGCCTTACTCTAATATTAGTTGGCCCTCATTTATATGGTACAGCTCCCTGCAGCACTGTGCCCTCCAAGGGCATGCCTCTCACCTGCGCTCAAATCCATCTCTGACCATAGCATAACTTCTTTCTAATCGAGGCTTTAGAGTACAGCTTCAGAAGATACATAAACCTGACACAGTCTTATAAGCTTTCATACCCTGCTTAAATCATGTTTTCTCAAATTATCCCTCCAAAACTCCAGCTAAGAAATGATTGTGAATAGGGGCTGTGAATGGATCACAGAGACAACTCCAGGCTCCTTAAGGAAAAGGCTAAATAGCTAATTCCTATTTGGTCCCTAACAGTATAGCAAGAAATGGTAGTATCTGAGCTACTTTCATTCACTACAGTGGTTTTCCTTCTAGACATGCAGGTAGGGGAAAAGAAAGCGTATGGAAGAAAGACAGCAGGATTTCAGAGAAGCCACGAATGCAGCTTTGGGTAAAAGAGCAATGGAAAAAATGCAAGCATTCTGTCCAGATTTAAAGTCACATTCTATCTAACAGGCATTCCGCAGTAACCGTCCAAAAGCTAACCAGTAAAACATTTTTCCTGTCTTTCAGAAGAGCCTTGAAGCATCACCACATCAAAACCGACAGCCTGAAATCTAGTTCAGTTATGTATCTGCAATATAGTTTTGCAGTGATTTAAGAAATTATATAAGATTATTATTATTATTATTATTATTATTATTTTTAATAAGAAAACAGTAACTTTATTTCATTTGTTTTATCTACAGTTTTTCTAATGCATTTAAAAATCATGGGAAATGTGGAAAGGTTGGAAGAAAGCCCCCTCAGCTTATACTTCTGTTGTAGGGTTCTGTGTCTGACCACATCTCACCTAGTGGGGTTTTAGAACTGGCAAGTCCAGACATTTGACAGCTTCAGGTTACATTACTTTTCAGTTCTGGTGCATGCTTTAAGCTTCCCACTTCTTTCTTCAGGACATTAAGCAAAGTTCTGGAACTATCCAAAATCTTCATGTAAGCAGCTTCAGTTTCAGCGAGAATTTTATCAAGCTCATTTCGCGAAGCTACCTTCTGAGCCAGGTTTTCACACACACACTCCAACTGTTCATTCAGAACTTGAATTTCATGCTGGAGTTTACTTTTTTCCTCTTCTGCTTGCTGGATCTGTTTGTTCAGCTCCTCTTTTTGCATACACAAGTCTTCAATACACTTGACGAGCTCGTTGTTGTAACCCTGAAGAACAGCTCCCTGCTGCGTCATCCTCCGCTCCTGTCTCCAAGCCCTCCAACAGCTTCCTGAGGTCTCCTCTCAGCAGCAGCCTATCTGCACATTAACACAAAAACAAGAACAGAAAGAAAAACTATGTAACAGAATTGTTGCTATGTTATGTTTAAACAGATAGAGTCATGGGGAAAGATGTGCTGCTACAGGCCAGTTCTGAGGTGTGCTGTATCACTTCCCTTATCAGAAAGAAGGCAGGACAAGATTCAGGCTTCACATCGCACTATGGTTTGGGTTGGAAGGGTCCTTAAAGACTATCAGTCCCAACCCCCTGCCATGGGCAGAGCTCCCACCCAGCAGCTCAGGCAGCCCAGAGCCACATCCAACCTGGCCTTGAGTACTTCCCGGGACGGGGCACCCACAGCTTCTTTGGGCAGCAGTGCCAGGGCCTCACTGCTCTCAGTGAACAGTTTTCTTGACATCTAATCTGAATCTCCCCTTTTCTAGCTTAAAACTATTCTTCCTTGTCCTATCATTACCTATCCATGTAAAGAGCTTACTTCCCTCCCACTCTGAAGCTCCTTCAAGCATTGGAAAGCCCCTATCAGATCTCCCTAGAGCTTTCTCTTCCCAGGGCGAACAGCCCCAGCTCCCTCAGCCTTTTTTCACAGGCGATCCTGTGGCCTCCTCTGGACCCGCTCCAACAGCTCCGCACCCTTCCCACGCCGGGCCCCGGGCCGGACGCGGCGCTCCCGCCGTGCCCGCCAGCCGCACACGTGCACCGCCGCTGGACCCGGCCCGGCGCAGTCACGTGACCGCGGGGTCCCGCCGGCCCTCGGTGCCCCTCGCTCTCACCCGCTCCCCCCGCTCGCGAGGCGGCCGAGTCCCGCCGCCGCCTCACGGGGAATTGCGAGGGAAGGCGAAAGGCGGCCCGGCCCGCCGGCTCCCAAGGGACATTTTAACAACCTCTCCCTGCCGAGCGCCTCTCGCGGAGCCCGACGTACACAAAATGGCTCCTGCCTATACATCAAGGCGCCGGGCGGAAGGGGAGGGGGGGAGGTGAGGGGAGACCTTCCCTTTCCTATCCCCCCCCGCCCCGCCGCTCCTCTCGCGGCCCCCCCTCGTCTTGTCGCCCCCACCTGCCTGGCGCTGCCGCCCGCTCGGCTCGCACCGGCCGCCCTGCCGCGGGGCTCCCCTCGCGCGGCCCGCCCGCAGCGCGGCCCCCGGCCGCTCCCCTCGGCCAATCGGCCGCGCCCCGCCAACGGCCGCGCCGAGCGGGAGCGCTGCCGAGCCGCGGGGTGAGGGGTCACGGAAATAGCCGAACGGTTCCGAAGGCGGCGTCACCCTGACGGGAGCGTGAAAGCCTCTCTACGGAAATAACCGATGTTTTCCGAAGACAGGTAGCGTTCGGGAGAGGAGGACGAGGCGGGCCGGCCGGCCGGTGGGGGGAGGAAGGGGGAAGAGTTACGGAACGAGCCGATGTTTGCCGAAGGGAGAGACTGAAGGGCGTTGGGCTCGGCGGAGACAGCCGATGTTTGCCGAAGGCAGAGTCGCCCGAGAGCAAAGGGGACAGAGGGGACGGAGCGCGTCGGAAAGAGCCGAAAAGAGCCGACGTTAACCGAGCGCGGCGTCGCCCGAGTTTCCCGGATGTAGTTGGAGGAGCGGCGACGGCGGCGGCGGCGGGCGCAGCGGGGGGAGGAGGCGGCCGCGGCGGCAGCGACGGAGTCCGCGCTCCCGGAGCGCCTCAGCGGGGCCGAGCTGCCGGCGTCTCCCCTCAGGCTGCGCGCGGCGGAGATGGGCCCGTGAGCGCCGCTCCCAGCCCAGCTGCCGAGCCGCCCCCTCCCTCCCTGCCCCCTCCCTGCCCCCGGTCGGCGGCGAGGCGGAGCGCCGCTCCCCTCCTCCCCCCTCGGCGCCCGTGGCCCGGCCGCGGCCGTCCCTTCCTGGTCCCCTCACACTCACACACACAGGCCGGGCATTGATGGTAATGTATGCGAGGAAACAGCAGAGACTCAGTGATGGGTAAATCCCCTCCTCGGCCCCCGCGGCTCTCCCCCCGCCTCCGCCATGTTTGGGCCCCTTCCCGGCGGCCGGTAACGGCCCTCGCTAACGCCTCTCTCTCTCTTTCTCTCGCCTTCTCCGCAGCTGTCACGACCGCAGGGGGGACTCGCAGCCCTACCAGGTACCGCCGCGCCGGCCGCCAGGCCCGGGAGGAGGAGCGGGGCAGGGAAGGGAAGGGAAGGGGGGGGGAGCTACTCCAGCCCAGGCTTCGGCCGCCGCCGCAGGCCGCGCTGCCCCGCGCGGCTCCCGCCCGGCCCGCGGCGCCTTCTCGGGCCCGAGGGGTGGAGAAAGGGGGCGAGGCGGCGGCCCGCAGCCGGGAGAACGGGGCCGCCGCGCCGCTGCGAGGGCCGGGCCGGGAGGAGAGGCCTAGCGCGGGGCCGGGGCCTAGCGGCCGGGAGGTGCGAGCCCAGGGGCGGGAGAGCGCGGCGGGGTCACGGGCGGAGGAGCCGAGAGCCGGGGGGGAGGCGAACGTTTTCTTCCCAAAAACAAAAGGCAGCTTGTTCGCCCCCCGCCCCCCTCCCCGAGGCCCTTCTTCTCCCCAAAAGTGCTGCTGCGGGCTGTAACCTGAGCAGGGCACGATTTTAGACCCTGAACTGGGGTTGCCGGTAAGGCTTCCTTTCTACACTTGCCAGCTGCTAGGTGTGTTCAAAAACATCAGATCCTCCAGGTTTTGGCAATAACTTCACTTTAAGTACGACGAATCCCATCGACTTCTGCCTTGTCTGTGGAAAAAAAAAAAAAGATTACACCGTGAGGAAGGTGTGAGTCTGGGGAATGCCATGTTGTGACACTGCTCTTCTTAGGGCACGTAACTGAACCGTTTTATTACATTTCTGTGTGTTTCTCTCACTGTGAAGTGTCATCTGACAGTCCGAGGCAGCTGTCAGTGACAGTTCATGTCATGTAAACACTTGCTACTCAGAAGCTCACTCTGCAAAATTGAGCAGGTCAAAGAGAGACAGAACATGTTAGTTTTGGTAAACATTCCAAAATGAATTGCCACATTACATGTTTTGCCCCCTTGCAGCCCCACAGAAATTCCAGATTCTTACTGTATCTGTTATGGGTTTGTTGGTACTGAAGTCTATCTGCAGAAGCTTAATGTAGAGGCGAAAGGAAGTGGTCTCTATTACAGTATGGATATTTACAGTTTACTCTGATTCAATGTAACTTTCTGTTTATTTCTTTAATACCAGCTGCACTTGTGCTTATTTTGAGTGCCAGAAGTATTGTGGCCCACTTACTGCTTAAAGTTTGCAGTCCCTCACTGAAAAAATAAAAAGAAATTAGGCTCATCTTAACAGCAAATATTATTACATTGGATGTCGTGGTGGGAGCAAATGGTTTCGTCCTAATTACAGAACTTGTTGCTTTAATGTAGGTAATTAAAATTAGGAGGACTAATGGTGGTTGCTTAAATGGGAAATGAAAATTAATTACTTCAAAAAGTATTTTGGAAAAAAGATCTAAAATTTATGACTGATGTTAGAATGTTCTTTCTGTAACTATATCTAATGAAAATGCCTGTTCTCTTGTGATCTGTTTCAGGCTCTTAAGTACTCATCCAAGAGTCACCCAAGTGGTGGTGATCATCGTCATGACAAGATGCGAGACACCACAGATCCTTCACCACCAAATAAAATGTTGCGGCGCTCTGATAGCCCTGAAAACAAATACGGTGACAACACAGGGCACAGTAAAGCAAAAAGTGTGCATACTCACAGAGTTAGAGAGAGGGATGGTGGTGAGTTATCTTTAATTAACCTTTATTTAAGCAATTACTACTTTCTCATGAAATTAAACAGTTGTCACTCGGATGAAGGGAGTGTTGCACTAAGCGATGTTCTTTGGTGCTTGGAAGACTACGGTGAAACAAAAAACCATGTTTCCTTGGAAGTAGGCACTGTAACATCTGTTAGCTATCTTATTTTTACAGGTATGGTAGTTCTTATTTAAACCACAGAGATTTAATTAACTTTTTTTTAATTAACATGTCTGACTTATTTCAGACATACTGCAACATTCAATAAGGTGAAACCATATTCTAGATTTTTCCCTAGTACTGGCAGTCTTAGAGGCTTACATTGTTATTTTTTGAAATATTTTCGTGTTCCTGTAATGTAGTTATGTGCTTCGTAGACTACACACTGTAAAATGATAAAAAAAGCTCTGTATCTAGTTGCTGTGTAGATCTCCTAACAATCTTAAAATTAAAATCAAAGACAGCACTTAGTACAGTATCTCTTGGCAGAAGCTTAGTCAGGTAGCTTCCTCTTTTTACACTGTAATTTAAATGATAATACCATGCTCAGAAGTTTTAAGATGATGTTATTTTCTATTCCTACCTCCTAAAAACACCTAAAAGTAGGGTTTTCCTTTTAATAAAAGACAGTAACAGCTGGAGGTTTGAAAGGCTTATTACTGACTGAATTTGGAAGCCTGTTCTGTAAGTATTGTTCTTTGTATCATGTAATAAAGTATTCAGGTAGAGAACTTGAGACAAAGAAGCACTGATAAAAGTTCTGTGTAAAGTTAACAACCTGTGATGTCCAGATGTATTTATCGCTGCAGTATTGTTACTTGTTAAAGTAACAAAGAAAATATCTTTGTCTCCATTAGAGTATATTAGTTCCATACCACATGTACATTTATGGTGCTCAACTGTTCTTACAGTTCTTATGTTTTCCCACTTTTGGGGATTAATAGTAGACTGCTGATAATGAGATACTACTTTATGGAAGGTTTGCAAAGACTGGCAGCATTTCTTAGTACATTGGTTTTCGTTATATTTCCTCGTACGTGAAAGCACAGTAATCTCAGAATGAAATGCATGTGCAAAATTGGTAGACTGCTATTCCACGTTACTTTTCAAGACACAAAAGTGCCTTCTCTTCCTTGTTTGCCTGTCCAAAGATACTTGTCCTACCTCCTCCTTTAATTCTGCTGAGTTCTGGTGCAGTCAGTAATCTGATTTCAGTGAAGCTACATTTAGTGGAGTTATGCATATATGACAACGTTTGGAGGATGAGACTCTGTGTGGGGAGCATATTTGCTTATTTTAGTACTAAAATTGTTTTTGAGGGTAGAGAACAGATTCTAAAGCTCTCACCGAATCTGGACTGAATAATTGGTGAGTGATCTGAGATGTGGATGTAGACAGTAAATTATGGAGGAAAAGGAATTATTTGTAGCTTTGTAAGTGTAAGGAACCCTGTCCTACTGCTGTTAATACAGTGAAAAATGTACTTTATCTGAATGTTGTTTTGTCTAAATTATATGTCAGTGGACTGGGAGAAGGAGGTAGTCTTAAACAGTTTGAGGGAAGTTGCTGATTTTGAAGGGGCATCTATGTTATTCTGTATTAACAATGAAGTGATTTTTCTTGTGTGTGTGTTCTCAATAAGGTTAGTTTGGTGCCAGTTTCCATGTTTTAGTACATACTCAAAACAACTGAATTTAAGTATGTGTATTACTGAACCAAAGCTGGGCAGATGTGAGCCAGGAGAATGCCAGCTTTGTTTTCCAGAGTAACTCCTTGCAAGTTTGAAGCTGTTGCATCTTATTTTCTGTGTCCCACTAAGGTCTACTGAATCTTTCTGTCAGTGTGAATTAAAGGTAGGTGTTAGGATGTAGGTGAATATGGACACCTGCACGTTGCTGATACCCAAAAGGCACAACCTAATAGTTTGCAGTGTTCTCTGTCAAATTACTCTGAGGTACTATTTTGTTTTGTTTTGTAATATTCCCTCAGTTTTGCGGGGTACAGATGTATCTTGGGGGAAATAATAAAAAACTTTGCTGTGTTTAAATGAGTAGATATCAAGTAAAAAAAAAGGATGCTAAAAGTTTTCATCACAGTTGTACTGTGAGTTGGTTTTTTCAATACTTTGCAGTGACTTCTGGGGGAAAAAAAAATAGGTTTGTTTGTTTTTGTAATTGCTGTACGTTTCATTATTTTAAAATGAGTAGTGCTTGATTTGGGGCTACTACAAAGGTACTATTGCCTTCCTGTGATCTAGCTGAACTTAGCAAAACAAACCTCATTGAAAAATCTCCAGTAATAATTTCCCCAGTCTGCACTGAAGCCCCAGATAAGCAATCTTTGTTTTTCTTATCCCTTAGAAATCAATTCAGAAATGTGGGGTATTACTGCTGACCATAAATGTGAATTAACCTGATCTGCTCCCTTTCAATTTAGTGTTAAAGAAGGCACTCTTAATATCACCTGTACTCAATTTTGCTCTGGAGCGATACAAAAAGATGCATTCATCCAGCATACTGATGGGTGCTGGGGACTCATTTAGTCTTGATTGACTCGCTTTTTTGTGGTAAGGACAGAAAGGGCTAACCCTTGTTTAAAGGTGTAAGTGTAAACACAACGTGAAAGTGCTGTGATTCAATTGGTTTATAGTGAATAAATAAAGAAATGTTAGAGCCCTCCCACTGTGAGAAGCTTTGCTGTCTATATAAAGGTATTTGTTATCGTAACTTATACTGGGAATCTTTTTTTATTTGCAGAAATGCATCCATAAGAAATGTTATTATTAATAATAAATATTAATGATACTATCAATAATAATTATTGATAATTTGATTAGTAATTAAGGTTTTAGAACTTGGGCTAACAGTAGGCCCTCCATACCAACACAGTGCAAGCAAAGCATTTTTCAGAGTTGCTTCCTACATGGTTTCTGTAGAAAGAGGGCACAGAAAGAGACATTAGTTACTCTGAAGAGAGACTTCCAAGTTTATCTTGTACTAATGGTAAAGTACATGCATGTTTTTGTCACATCCCTTGTTTTCAAGGAATGCTTGTACGTCAGGCATATCAGAGTGCTGGAATAACTTTGTTCTTGCTTTCAGGTCCCTGTGCATGAGCATATTATCTGTATGTGCAAGGGTTTGAAATCTAATGAACAGCCTCCCCCTTCTCTGTATCTCTTATTTCTAGGTCAGCTGCTATAGGCAACGGTGGAGCTGTAAGAGATCGGGAGTCTTAGGAGACCAACTCAAGTGTGAAGTTCCTGAACAGTAACAAATAGGGAGTTACAGCTGGCATTGTTTACAGGGAGTGGAG